GTGATCTTGAGACTCGGGCCTGGCCACTTTCTTGGTTGGCTCCACACCTGTGGTCATTTGATCCACGGCGGAACATTTGAGTAGTTGACCTACAGACTGAGGTCACAGCACTGGGTCATTCCTATCTTTAGTGGCCATCATTAAGTTTCAACTGGTTGACAAGGTTTCCTGTGCGTCCAGTGTGCTTCTCATGCTTGTCTATGCCGATCTTTACTCCCAGTTCTTTTATTCTTAGCAGTGATGTTGACACGTTGCTTTTGAAATCCTCGCAACCTCCTATCTCTCTCAAGGCATTGACAATGTGATCAATGGGCCGGCCATCTGAAGTTAATGCAGAACCTGCCAGTCTATCCGCTCTTTCATTGCCAACAACACCTGCAAACTCTGGAATAAATTTTAAGGTAACTGTAACTGAGGAGAGTTTTGCAATGGCTCAGTCCACTGTCTATGTAACAACCTGCCTCAACCCGTCGGATCATGCTCATTAAATCACTCGGCGCACACACAAGTGCGGGAATAGTCCTGGTTGGTTATATTTAAGACTTAATTTCTCGGAATTTCTCGGCTGAAATGAACATCAGTCTTAATAGTGTGCTCTTGACAGAGCTCATCAACGAACATTACATCTCCCCCCGACACTTCAATGAGGTACAAGGTGCAAGAGAAGAAGAAGAAGAAAATTTCTTGGCTGTTTGGATTTGATTTTTCTGTGTGGCATATGGTTGTGCAGAGAAGATTTCAGAGTGTGTGGATATTGATAGTTTGAGAAGCTAGTTGGTCAAACACTTCCTTTGTTCTCAACCACTATCCTTCCTGGTAGTGCTGAACTGTTGTTTTTGGTTGCACCTGGTATACCAGACTCTTGTATCACACCAGCACAGCTGAACCTCACTGTTTTTCCCTGGAGGCCAGCGAAAGATCTCTTTCATGTCCACATACACCAGCATTGACAACAGTGGATCACCACCCTCACCACCACTCACTGACAGTTCCTTGTAAACACAGAACTGGCCCTTTTGCTCAACAGTGTCCTGTCTGACTGAAGCTAGGATCACAGGGGTTTGCTAGGATCACAGGGGGTGGATAGCCGGCTTAACACTGGCGCTCTAAAACTTTTTTTTGTCAATTTCTATCCAGTGTTTGCAGATACAAACCCATTTTTTGACCGGGAGTACAAAGGTTCTGTCGCTCAGCTACTGAGTTGAGTGCTTGGTTTGACACTGAGCTGTGGATTTCATGTGCAATATTTTGTCTTGTGTGCCCGCAATGGCTTTGTGTTGCCAATTGCACTAAAAATGGCAGGTGGCTGATTGTGATTGGAATTGTGTGTGTTACTTATGCAGTATTGTGGGTGCAGTGTGCCGGCTCTTATAATTGACTGTCTTGCATCAATAGTAAGCTGCAACAGCAGCAAAGTGGGAGACAGTGTTGGCACATCTGATGGTTCCTTATGCATTTACTTTGCATGTGCGAGCTTCAAACTTATGCTGGGACTGATGGGGGAGTAAAGGACTTTTTGTAGGATTTCCACTGGCACAGGAGCTCAGTAGTCAAGTTGTAACCTCGACCTATGACCTGATATCTGACCTTAACCCCCAGTGTTGCATATGTGACCCCCAGGTTTAAGCACCCTGTCATTAGATCCCCCATTCTCTGCTCTACCGACTGTCTACCTTTCTCTGAAAGGTCAAGCTTTTCATTTGGATCTGTATTATTCACTGAAGAAGAGCATGACCTTGAAGTGGCCAGCTCTCCATGTTGAGGTAGTCCCTAGTGCGGTGAAGTCCACCTCAGCTGTAATCAACATTTCCTTGTCCTTTCTGGTCAGTTTGAGGCTGGGGCATTTATCACCAGTGGTATGACCAATATTGATTGATTGATGCTGTTAAAGATATCACAGTTGTTCACATTTGTTTGATTGACCCATTCCTACATTCACAGAATTCATGTTAGGTTTGAGTGCTGATTATGTTTATGATATCACTGCTAAGTTGTGAACAGTTTCAGCACATATACATATAACATATTTGTTTGTATGCCAGGTGATATTCCCCCCCCCCCCCCCCAATTTTTTTAAGTTAAAACTGGGTGCCATCTAATACACAGAAAGTGGTTAAAATATTTCTTAATTTTGGGCTAACAATTTTGGGAGTCTTATGTATGGGACACATTTGGTAGTTAATCTAGCCTTGTTCCTTGGCACTAAGCCTGGTGTTTGTGTAGATGTTGTCTGTGTGCCCTGTATGTTGTAGTTGCTATTTGTATTTTAATTATAAAACATGGCACAGAGGGATGTCAGCACATGAACTGATAGACACAGATTGCGGAGAGGCATGATCGCCCACACCAGTCGGCAAGGCATCTGATGATGATGAATGATTAGACAAGTCATAATGAAGGCAGTAGGTAGATAGAGTTTATGAGGTTTATTGTTTTGTGCCACAAGAATGGTCTTTTTATAAATAGCTGGTTGTAAAACGTGAACCTGGGATGTGGAAGATTTGATTGTGAAATGTGTTCACTAACCTGTAGGCTACAGGCCTGCTCTAAATGTAGACAGGGTTTGATGTATTCAGTCCGGTTATAACAGTGAGAATTTGTAGCTAATATGAAAGCTACTGCTATCTAGAGGTCAGCTAATCCGATCTAATTGGCTGGAGCATTCTTTGTTTCTGAAAGATGAAACGCTACAATAACATCCATTCTGTGGTTTGTATGAGTGACTGGCCTGTGCTTGTGCTGCCACATTGTGCTTGCTGCCATGAAAGGAGGCCACCTGTATAGTGAGCTTTCAGCAGTAATCGAACCCATTCTGTTCAGGATGACACCAGACACACCTTCCTGCAGCATACACAGGGGTGTTGAAGTCACACACATAGACAGAATTCATGTTTGCACATTTAACTTGTGTGTGTATTATATTGTTATCCAGAAATGACAACAGTTATCATTGGTCAACAGATTTTAATGTTATCTGCATGATACATGCATGGGTACTAATTCTGGTTTTTACAAAGTCATCATTGTGGGAAGTTTGATTACATATATCAATCTATCCTCTTCTTTTCTGCGCTGTAGGTACTTTGTGGTTTTGTTTAAATCTTGTTTCTTCTATTCTGGTCTTTAGGTACTTGTGATTTTTTTTGTTTTTCCTCTTCTACCCTGGGCTGTAGGTACTTTATGGTGTTAATTAAGTTTTTTCTCTTCTACCCTGGGCTGTAAGTACTTTGTGGTTTTGTTTAAGTCTTTCCTTTTTCCCCCCTTCATGTAGAAGAACTTTACAGTCTAGTCTTTCCTTTTTCCCCTACCCCTGGAATGTAGATTCACATGACAGTCTTGTTTGGTTGCTCCTCTCCTACCCTGGGATGTAGAGGTACATGACAATCTTGATTAGACTTTCCTCCACTACCCCGGGATGTAGAGGTACATGACAATCTTGATTAGTCTTTCCTCTCCTACCCTGGGATGTAGAGGTACATGACAATCTTGTTTAGTCTTTCCTCCACTACCCTGGGATGTAGAGGTACATGACAATCTTGATTACTTTCCTCCACTACCCTGGGATGTAGAGGTACATGACAATCTTGATTAGTCTTTCCTCCACTACCCTGGGATGTAGAGGTACATGACAATCTTGATTACTTTCCTCCACTACCCTGGGATGTAGAGGTACATGATAATCTTGTTTAGTCTTTCCTCTTCTACCCTGGGATGTAGAGGTACCTTACAGTCGTGTTTAGTATTTTCTCTCCTACCCTTGAATGTCAAAGTAGCTTACTGTCTTGTGTAGTCTTTCCTCTCTTACCCTGGGATGTAGAGGCACCTTACAGACTTGTTTGGTTGCTCCTCTCCTACCCTGGGTGTGGAGATAGCTTACTGTCTTGTGTAGTCTTTCCCCTTCTACCCAGTAGCAGTGTCGCCTATCATTTTTTTGGCTGGATATCTCTGAAGTGTTTTGAAAGACTGTTTTTAATGAATATTTGTTTTAGCAACGATTTAGACATGGCCAGTGGCTGGGCTGCTTGCCCACCCACTGTGTGGATGTGGATAGACCCACCACCCACTGTGTGGATGTGGATAGACCCACCACCCACTGTGTGGATGTGGATAGACCCACCAGCCACTGTGTGGATGTGAATAGACCCACTACCCACTGTGTGGATGTGGATAGACCCACCACCCACTGTGTGGATGTGGATGGACCCACCACCAACTGTGTATGGGCAGGCCCGGTCTGACCAGATGGGTTTTACCACATTGCCCCAGTGGGTCATTTAGCCAAAGATGTGTACGGCTAACGCAATATTACTGTGTAACCTTGGGTGGGATGTTAAGGGAAATGGGATACTTTGATCCTGTCTGTGTAGTCCTTCGTTTAGTATTAATTTTTCGTATATAAGAGGATATGTTCAAACATATTTGATGTCATTGGTTGTATTAAAGGGTATTTATTTCATATTGCTCCAGCATTAAAAGTTCATTATTCTCTCTCACACACACATACATACACACACACTTAGACAAGCTGATTCTTTCCAGGTATGTCAGTTGTGTGAGCCTGTGAGAAATAGCCAAAGAAATAATATCACGGGCATTGGTCGGCACACAAAGAAGTAGGTAGAGATAACAAGACATAATCAACAGTGAAAGCTACATCTGGGTTCAAACCTACACGTTGAAACGACAATTCTTGTTGTTGGAACACGTCTGCCTTCAGCCAGTATCGTCTGGTTCCTGGCTACTCAACTAGGGGACCTGCGAAGGCTGACCAATTAGCCAGCATCGTTGCCAGTTTGTATTGAATTGAAGATCTTTCCGTGTCGGACTTTTGGTCCGTGATGGTCTCTAGTTTTGACCCGAAGTAAACTGAGTTGAACTGCGTCTTGTTGAACCTGTGCGGAACTGAGGCCCTGCATGCTGTAGAAATATTCTTCATGCTGTTAGATTGGGGCCAGCTTTCTGTCGGTGCAGACTGGGAGAAAGTTGTAACACATCGTGGCTTAAAAGTGAAAGAAAAATTCGTTGCTAGCATCACTACGCCGAGGTCTGATTTCTATGAGTCCATGCACCAAGGAGGCGTCCTGGCTTGCCTCTTTATTGTCCACTCCAGATTCTCTACGACTTGACAATGTGAATGGAGAGTCCAGCGGCAAATTGGCTTCTGGATTCTGGACAGTGGGGCCAGACACATCATTTAACATTGTACCCTGGTTTGGGTCATTTGTTGTAGTGGGTACTCCGGCGTGGTCAATTGTTGATTGGGCAGTTCCCGGGTGCTCATTCGCTGATTGGGTCACCTCTTGGTTACTGACAGTTGTTCGAAGGGTGCTCATGTTGTCAATGATTGATCGAAGAGTGCCACTGCTATCCACGAAAAGTGTGTTCAGAAAATGAGGATCGTGAGTCATCGAAGAACTAGCCACGGATGTCCGGTGGTCCAGCCAGGCCGGGTAGGCCACGCCTAGAGGTTTGACCCTCCTGGGTAGTTTACGTTTGCCCCGAACAAACACGACCACACAGGCGGCGATAAACACAATAGCCATACTCCCGGAGATGTAGATGAAAGTTAGGGGGATGAACGAGTTCTGGATCAGATTGTTGAGTCGAGTTTCACTGGATTCATCATGCTCGTGTTGGAAGATGGGCACTTCTAGACATGCCTCGGCCGACTGCAGCCCTTCTTTGTTGATGGCTGTCACACAGATGTTTTGTTTGAACGTTTCATTCAGTTGAAGTGTATAATTAGACACGCCGTCAGCAACTGCCGCAGACTGCAGCGCCGTGGTGTCGTTGTGTCGTTTTAGGGTAATATTGAATCCATACATTGGCTGGAAATCGTCCACAGTCCAAGTAACAGTCGCAGAGCTGGAGTTTCCCCTAGAGATGTTCACTGAAATATGTCCCCATGTGTGTGTGTCTTGTAGCTTGCCCACCGCTGCGGTTGTGGATCCCAGTCCCCAGGTTTTGTTTCCCGTGGTCGGGCAAACTTCTTCACTGCCCGGCGGCTGAGGGCATCTGAGATCGGAGAATTCTAGCTCTGAGAAATAGAAGCCCCTAAGTGAGTGGGGACTCCTGCATGTCCACTTGTAGTCGTTCTGGGGATGATTGAGCTGGGAGACCTGCTGCCACCTGTAGAGCCAGGCTAGGCTGCAGTTGCAGGTGAGCGGGTTCCCCTCCAGGCGGATGTCGCGGAGCTTCTTCAGCGGAAGCAGCACACAGTTGTTTATCACCAGAATTTTGTTCCAGGAAAGATCCAGAAACTCTAACGAAATGTCGCGCGCTTGGCTGTATTTATTCTCAAATGATGAAATGTTATTGTGGGAGAAATTAGCATGTTTCACATTCTCCATTCCCGCCATAAAATTAAGGTCTAGATGATCCACCCAGTTGTGGCTCACATCTAAATAGGTCAGATTTGTCAGATGACAAAGTGCCCTAATGTCGGCATTAATTAGGGAAGCATTTTTAGCGACCAGACGCGACAGAGATGACGTTAAATCTTCGAATGTGCGTCCATTGATACTCCCGCCAATTTTTGAGTCACTAATGTTTAAAGTCTCCAGGACATTGGTTTCAGAAAAGGCGCCATTTTCGATGAGTTGTAAAGGGTTGCCGCTCAAGTCTAGATCCCGGACGGACCACAACCTCCTGAAGCTGCCGGCTTCAATCACTCTGATATTGTTGTGTGCTAGTTGTAAATTTGTCAAGTACCTCATGGTTGCAAAATATTCCCCGGAGAGATCGGAGATGCTGTTGAAACTCAAATCTAACCGACGCAAAACTTTTAGGTCTGCTAAGGACAGGAGGTGTTGCTCTTGAAGATTATTATTCTGCAGATCAAGCCCTTCCAGTGAAAATTCTAAATTACTAAAAGTGTTATCCTCAACATAGCGCAGTTTGTTGTATCCCAGTTTTAGAGATCGGAGTTTAGATAATTTGAAAAAAGCAAAACTCTTTAAATAATGAACATCGTTGTATGACAGGTCGAGACAGACGAGTTTGTCCAACACGTTTATCTCTGCGATATTCTGGAACCCGAGCGAGTTTTGGGACAGGACCAGGCTGGTGAGGAATGGCAAGGCTAGGAACGTACCTGGCTGGATCCGGTTTATCCTGCAGCCAATGAGATGAAGCTCTTCCATCGATCCCAGGTTCAGGAATAGACTGGGTCGCAGATCCTGTTCTTTGCATCCGAGGATTATTAAAGTACGTAGACGGCTAAGTCGGGAAAGAGGGTCAGTGGGGAAGCCATCCATGGCGTAGAGTTGAATAGACAGCCATCGGAGGGTATGTTCCAACCCCGTGAAGGCAGTCGTGTGGATGAAGTTGATAGCGTTGTCTCGCAAGTCCAGCTTCTCGATGTGCAGGTGTTTGAACCCTCCGGCGGGGAGGCTGTTGATGCTGTTGTGTCTGGGGGGAGATTGGCATAAGTTGGAGCAGGTATATACAGACAACACCAAACATGCATCGTCATTTTTGTTTTCTCCTTGTCCCACGAACGAACGATAACTTAACCGATAACACACACGATAACATAACAAGCACACGCCAGTGCGTCACTTTACCCCAAGCCATTCTCGATCTCCACTCTACCAACTCTTTGTCTCCCCCTCCCCTCCCTGTCTCACTCAAACAACATACTATAATCACCATCTGTCGTGCTTATAAGCGTGGACAGTCACTGTTCGTGTCTCCCAGAATCAGCAGTCTTGAATGAAGTCTTTCTTCTCCCGTTTATGATTAGTTATTTCTCCCTCTGTCTTTCCTGCTGTTTATACATCATTATACATCAGGTTTGGCAGTTGTCCCTAAATACTTTTCTTCTCTCTCTCTCTCGCTCTCTCTCTCTCTCGCTCTCGCTCTCTCTCTCGCTCTCTCTCTCTATCTCGCTCTCTCTCTCTCACTCTCTCTCTTTCTTTCTCTTTCTCTCTCTCTCTCTTTCGCTCTCTTTCTCTCTCACACCAAAATTCGTCGATATCTACACCCGATGCCTGTACTCACTTTACAATGTGGTTTGTGTTGTGAACTGTAGATTCAGAAAATGCCCAGTAGCCTGTTGTCAGAGAACTCATGGCGCCTCATGCAATTAATTGCGTCTGCAACTACTGATCTGTTGTAATTGCTGCTTCCATTGACCGTCAACTGCATTTCTAGTGTCGAACTGCTTGTGTTTGCACTTTAAACTACTGCAATGCATTTACTGGGCGTGGGTTCTATTGCCTTTGTTTAAGACTGAAGTTGTGTGTCAATTTCTCTCACACGGGGCACTGAAGGACATTCTTTTCAATGGCACAGGAAGAAAAGAACTAGGGGGTGATATATTTGTTCAATGGCACAGGAAGAAAAGAACTAGGGGGTGATATATTTGTTCAATGGCACAGTAAGAAAAGAACTAGGGGGTGATATATTCGTTCAATGGCACAGGAAGAAAAGAACTAGGGGGTGATATATTTTTTTACGAAGTCTACCCAATGACTCCCTTCACGTTCTCATCTGTTTTTGGATTGACTGTCATTTCTCTGTCAGTCCCTGGTACTCTTTGCATTTCCCTGGGAAACCAGATTCCGTTGCTATTTGATATGTCCCGGCTGTTCTACTTCACGTCCATTTTCCATGTTCATTCTTCCTCTTCTTCTTGTTTGCCCAGGGCGGTTGACACGTTGCGTTGTGGTTTACAGCTAGGATGCGAATCTGTACCTTTCGACCTAGACCTCCGATTTCAGCAAATCCATAATTAGTGGCATTACATGACCTGCTTGGTGGGCACATGATGGTGATGATTATACGACATGCTGGGTGCAGTTGGTCTGTTTTACACCCGCTCATCCTCGCCCCGAAATGGGGCCCCACAACCGACATGGGGAACCTGTTTATAAAACAGACAAATCTACACTAGCGGCGCCGACACAAAGACAATTTTGGCGGAGGTGGGCCTCTGCCCCATCATACATCTTTCGACAAGTAGAACTGGTCAGGTTCACATTATCACAAACGACAAGTGAACGTTGCGGCTAGCAAGCCTTCATGAGCACATCACATGAATAGATAAGAAATGTTGGTTGGATATACTTATAGACAACGGTGTTGCACCTACCTGAGTGAGAGTTCTTTAATACGACCTTCAAAAGACAGGAACTTGGGCAGAGCCGTCAGGTAGAGACTCATGCAGTTGACGATCAGTCCGCCATCTTTTGACTCGCAAGTACAGGGGTAGGCGGGACAGTAGACAAAACCTCGTTCTACAGACTGTACAATCCCGACACAGGTCACAAGCATGGCGTAGGGGACATAGCTCTCCATGGCTGCTGTCTTACTGTGGGTCGTTCTCAGTGGATACCCGGTAAGTATGCTGATTCTAGTAGTAGTAATAACATCAGTAATAGTTGTAGTAGAAGTAACTGTAGCAATAGTAGTACTAGTAGCTGTAGTAGTATTAGCAGCAGCAATAGTAGTAGCAGTAATATTAGCAGAAACAATAGTAGTAACAGCAATACTAGTAGCAGCTACAGCAATAACAGTAACAGAAGTAGCAGCAATAGTAGTAACAGTAATAGTAGTAGCAGCAATAGTAGTAGCAGCAATAGTAGTAGCAGCAATAGTAGTAGCAGCAATAGTAGTAGCAGCAATAGTAGTAACAGTAATAATTGTAGCAGCAATAGTAGTAGCAGCAATAGTAGTAGCATCAATAGTAGTAGCAGCAATAGTAGTAGCAGTAATAGTAGTAGCAGCAATAGTAGTAGCTGTAATAGTAGTAGCAGCAATAGTAGTAGCAGCAATAGTAGTAGCAGTAATAGTAGTAGCAGCAATAGTAGCAGCAGTAATAGTAGCATCAATGGTATTAGTAGTAGCAGAAATATTGGAGGTGGTAGCAGCAGTAATAGTAATCGTAGTAGTAGTAGTAACAGCAGTAATAGTTGTAGTAGAAGTAGCTGTAGCAATAGTAGTACTATTAGTAGCAGCAGTAGCCACTATAGTGCTTATAATGGTGGTAACAGTTGTGGTAGCGGTTGTAACGGTAGTGGTGTTGGTAGTAGCAGAGTATTTATTACGACCAACGGGGTGTTGGAACACCTCCGTCACAAATTGCCGGTTGGTCTATAAAATATGGGTCTAGCCCTATATGCCCACTACGCTTTAAGGCGTGGAAATGGCTCCTTTACTTTTACTTCATTTGGTACCAGGTAATGCCCTGGGAAATAAAGGCGGCTGCACATCGAGTGTCAATTCTGTATAAAAATAAATACATAAATGCAACAGCCGTGACTTTTAAACTGTTACTATAGTCTGTGGAAAGAGAAGAAGGACGTAGAGCACGAGGTAGACCAAGAACAAGATGGAAGGATAACATCAGAGAAACTCTACAACAGCACGATGTGCTTATGGTCGAGGCGGCCAGAAGAGCTAGAAACAGAACCTTATATCTCCCTCGACACCCACAGCGGTAAAAGAGGAAGTGAAGAATAAGAAGAAGACTATAGTCCGTTTCAGAATTTGTGCTCAACTTCAAAACTCTGTAATTCAATAACCGTTCTGTGTAAGTTGTTGAAATTTGGAATGCTTTGTCCTTGCAAGACATTAAAAAAATACGAACAAACATATAGTTTTCATTTTGCCTTATATGTGATATATTTAAAAAAAAAAAACAGAGACTGATTTAAAGCGGTCAGTATGCTTATAGTTAATTGAATAACAGGAACTGTTCAAAACATCGAATTGCACGCGTTTTACAGGTGTTTCCCTCTCCGATGGTGATCTCTTGCATTAGTGAGCTAGATAAACATAGTTTTTCGTCGTATGCGGGATAGGCTGTCAAAATAATCACCACGCATCGCTGCACACAGGAACTGATGTCCAAACTACCAGCAATCATGTGTCAATTACTATATATATATATTGTAATTTTTAGGGGTACAAAAAAATTGTTAGTCGCACAAAGATTAGAGAAAGTCGCCGCATTAAGAAAACAGCAGCACCTGTGTAATTGTAAGTTATAGAATCTTAAGGGCATGGGGCATCTAAGGACATATTCAAACATTAATTTTGATCCATACAGGAGTTTTTGAGATATTTGTTTCAGTATGCCGGCAAGAGTTGTGAAACGCTCACAAGGCTATATATATATTATATATATGTGTGGATTTGTATCGTAGTATGGGGCGTCGCAGGTCGACCCAGCCAAAAATGGGTACCAGGATGGCTGTCCTGGGAAAGTAAAGACGGCCGGCGTAATGCTGACCACATTACCCACCAAGTGCCGATTGGTCTGTAAAAATATAAGACGCTCTGCCCATTTACTTGATGCGTCTTAGGCGTAATAAGGGATCTTTAGTTTTTGGATCGGAAGGTTGTGGGTTCGCTCCCTGTCGGAGCCGGACTTTTTTTCAAAAATGACCTTGACTCCCAGGTCGACCCAGCCTTGAGTGGGTACCGGGTGCAGTCCCGAGAAGTAAAGGCGGCTGGCGTGATGCTGACCACATCACCCATCTTGTGCCGATTGGTCTATAAAAATATAGGTCTAGCCCTATATGCCCTATACGCTTAAAGGCGTGGAAAAGGGTCCTTTACTGTTTTTTAAACTTTTAAATATATTTTTATCCAGGCGGGACTAGCAATATGTTCAGGAAATAAAAATGTCAGAAATTTTCTACAAAATCTATCAGAACACGACATACCTGGCTCAACTCAACAGTCCCCTGGTACAGGTTAGAGCAAGGCAAGTTTTGCGCGCGGCCGCTCTTCCAGTCCACACACGCATCTTGAAGTTTCAGAGGAGTTTTTGCCACATCGTCTGCTAGGTTTCTGTTGAATCTGTGGCCACGCATCTCTCGCAAAGTCTGATTAGCTCTCTCAGGATACAAGACATTGTGTACTGGGTCCATTGTTTGAGGGGAAAATGTCGCCCATTAAATCCATAGTGTTGTCTGCAAATAGCACCACACTCTGTCCCCCTTACTCCCCCAACTCGCCATAAGCGTCACAGATTTTTGATTTGGTCTGTCACCAACTCTCACCCTATCTCCTCTACGTAGCCATTGATATAATATACAGTGTTGAAATGCTATTTGAATAATACAGAGTTACAAAAAATAAGTCAGTTACCAACCAACCAACCAATCGATCAATCAAACAAATAATCAATACACCAAACAATCGACAAACCAAAAAATGGACAAACTAAACAATCGACAAACCACTAGTAAATCAACCAACTAATCGATCAGTCAAGCAGCTAACCGATGAATGTATTAACGAATAAAAAATGAATGGTTAGTTTGCGTATCCTTTACAGGACGTTGCAGAACCAACCACAACAGCCCCTGGCTGTTGTGTGGTTTTTCTAGGCATACGTCCAGTAGTTTGCCATTTCTACCTGGACGGTCGTCCTCCTTGATACCACTTTCGAAATCAACGCAAGGCGCATGACCCGCAGCTGGGATCGAACCCGGCATCCCGGCATTACGAAGCGTTCGCATCGACTTAGCCACAGAGCCGACACAAAATAATCAATACATCGACAAAATAACAAACTAACGATTAACTGACAGCCAGCCAATCAAGAAACCCACCAACCAACCAACTAATTAGTCACATAGCTTATTGATAAACATATCAATCGATAAGTCAACCAATCGATCACGCACGCACGCACAAACACACACCCTCACACTCACACACAAAACGAATGAGCCAAACAATAGATCACTAAAACAACTAACCGATAAACTAATTAATTTACCAGTCCATCAGTCAATCAAGAAACCAACCAATAGATCAATAAACCAACCAGGAAACAACTATTTCTTTTACTTTTCTGCTGGAAACAATAAGGACACGTCATGACTAGTTTGGAAAAGAAAAATGGACATTTCCTTGCAGTTTGAATAGGTAGAATTTTAAAACTGATAAAGTTTCATATTCGACCCAGCTTTAAATGTCAACTTATATTCCACGGAGTGTGGTGTTGGTAATAACCTTTCTACAACATTCTGTCTCGTGCACTTCTCACAGTCCATCCCGTGTGGTGCTGGCAGGGCCGGATTAAACATTAAGCGCAATAAGCACGTGGTTAGGGCATCACAAAGGGAAAGGGCAGCACATACATTTTTATTAGCCGTAGAGCTGATCCTTTATTTCATCAGCTGAGGTATAATTCTATCAGTACAAGGCAGGCAGACTTGACGCCTTATCTCTATCAAGTATAGAAACAGATGCATTACATACGTTTAGATTCGAGAATCTGATCACAGACTGTAAACTCAAAACAAAACAAAAAAGTAAAAACAAATTTCGAATGTAAGTGAAGTGGCAGTAGACACAAACAGACACTTTTTTTTTTCCATTTTTCTGTAAGTTTTGTTTCATTATTAACAAAAAAATTATTGTATGGTTTATTATTGTTTATATTTTGAATTATATATAAATGGGAGCTGGGTACCAGCGCCGTCTTAACAATACATTTGTGGCCAGGGGCCGGAAAGCGTGGTGGCCGCATGCTGATCTGTGTATATCAAAGTAATGGTTATCCTTTCCTCCTTCTGAGTGGTCGCCGTTGGGGCCTCAGCTCACTTATTTTCGCAGGGGCCCCTAATGCTGTTAAAACGGCTCTGGGAGGAGGCACCACAATTGTTGAGTGTTTAGGGCAGGGCTATTCAACCGGCGGTTCGCGGACCAAATTTGGCCCGCGAACGTCTAGCAAGTGGTCTATGGATCATTGCCTATTGTATTGTATAAATGACTTCCGGTCAAAATGGACGTTGGCAGCGGCACTAATCGAAACAGGCAATTTTTTTTTGCTTCTGCCGGACGGTGGCCGATGCATTTTTGCTCCATTTGTAGACTGGATATAGTTTCGTCGCCCAGCTTCTGAGTTGAATGCATGGCGTGACCCTGTGAGCTGCGGATTGCATTTGGAATGTTTTTACGACTGTGACCAACGTGGCGGTGTGAATAGTAGATTCAGAAAATGGCACGATGCCTGTCGTGCAGTGTTGTGGTGCCCGTATGTGATTAAAATTGATCGCGTGGGCAACTGCTGATCTGTTGGCGACTCTCTGCTACCATCAATGATGAACTGCAATTCTAATACTGTGATAAACATTCTGTGTGTTTTTCGTTGGCACAGGAGCGGAGCAAAGATGGGGTGACCCGTTTGCTATGAAGCTGAAACTAAGACTACCGGAACTTTCTATCTAAGGTTCGTAAATGTCACCCTTATCAACATTTGGGCCTCTGGGTAAAATTAGTTGAACAGCCCTGGCCTAGGATATCAACAAGTATAAATCCTGTCCTGGGCACTGGTA